ATATATATATATATATATATATATATATATATATATATATATATCTTCTTTGTCTAATCATCTGTCAATGGACATTTGGGCTCTCCCCATAGCTTGGCTATTGTTGATAGTACTGCTATAAACATTGGGGTACAGTCATTCTTTTTTTTAAAGCCTAAACCCTTATTTATTTATTTTAGAGATAGTGAGCGGGGGAGAGGGGCAGAGGGAGAGAGAGAGAATCTCAAACAGGCTGCACACTCAGCATGGAGCCTGACATGGGGCTCAATTCCATGACCCTGGGACCATGACCTGAGCTGAAATCAAGAGTGGGATGCTCAACTGACTGAGCCACCCAGGTACCCTGCATGCCTTCTTTTTATCCCCAACAGCAATCCTGAAAAGTAGATGTTATTATCTTCCACTTTACAAGTAAGACAACTGAGGCTCCAACAGGTTGTCATGGGCCAAGTTCATTGGGCAATGGAGTAGCTCACACCCACTGAGAAGGCCTATGGGAAATAAGAGCCCTGGCTTCAAATGTCAGAAAGGTCACCATAAGGAAAAGAGATAATACTTGGCCCCAAAGTGTAAAAGGTGCTCTCAGTACAAGTTAATTACACAAAAGGAGAGAGTTCCAAAAAGAGAGAGGAAATTATAGTCAGCCCTGTGCCAGAATGTTTTGTGTTATCTTTGGTGGTAGTGAGCTCCCTGTTCCTGGAGGTGGTAAAGGTTGAATGAATGTTGGATGGGGCTTTACAGAGGATGCAAATGTGAGAGGAGTGGAACCAGATGCCCCTTACAGTGTTTTCCAATATTCAATCTTTGTTCCACTTTTCAGCAAGATAAAAAAGAGGAAAAGTCAAGAGAGAAGAGATTCAAAGAACCTGGGATGGCTGGCCATAGGGCAAACTTTCACATCCTGCATGTTAAGAAATGAGTGGCGGGGGGGGGGGCACCTGGGTGGCTAAGTCAGTCAAGCCTCTGACTTCGGCTCAGGTCATGATCTTGTGGTTCGTAGGTTTGAGTCCCATATTGGACTCTGTGCTGACATATCAGAGCCTGGAGCCTGCTTCACATTCTGAAGAGAGGCAGATTCCCTCTCTCTCTCTGCCCCTCCCCTGCTCATGTTCTATCTCTCTCTCTCAAAAATAAATAAACATAAAAAAGAATTTTTTTTAAAAATGAAAAACAACTATTTAAAAAAAGAAAAAGAAAAAAAGAAATGAAAGGGGTCCTTCTGGTCATTGGGTGAGGAGTAGAACTGGATCCCTACCCCACCCCTGACTTGGCTCAGGTGAAGTCTGAGAAGCTAGAGGAAGAAGAAATTTAGTGTGTGCATTTCTGCCCAAGCAACTCTGCATCCATTTTTCACAAGCTCTGGCTCAGGCAGGTGTCTGGCTTAGTTTGAATCTGATTTGTTTGCATTTCTGCAGCAGGCGGCTGCTGGGACTGGTTGCAAAGGGAGAGATTTGCTTTGCACATAATTTAATACAAGGGTTAGTTAATGAGTTTGCTCCCCCTCAGAAAAGGAAAATCAACATGCTTCCTCCAACCTTGCCCTTGCTTGGTCATTAGCAGGGATGCTGCTCTGTGAGCCTTGTTAGATTCATGTGATCACAATTCACAGGTGATTTACTGGAACTCCTGATATTAAAAAACCTCGGAGAGACATGTGGAATGAATAATGCTCTGTAGTGAATTTGTTAATGAATTTCCTTTCTGCTCCCCAAAAGAAGGGACTGGAAAAAAAGGGGAGGGGGGATCTTGCACCAGGGAAAGACCCTAATACTCCGCAAATCAAGGTTCTTGATGATTCTGAAAAGAAAATAATCAAAAATCGCTTTTTAAAGAAAATAACTTCTGTTCTCGGTAGGGACTGTCATTAATTTCAGGGTAGAAAATGGGTTGGCATCTTTCTGGTGTCCTTAAAATAGAATAAAGCAGTCACCTTAAAGGAAAAAAAAAAAGGAGGTTTTGATCCAGGGTTTAAGTAATCTTGGTTGGCTTCTGATTTGCATATATATATATGATAAAGTATGCCACTGTCCCAGAGGTTGATTGCTGGGAAATTGGACTCATGAAGAATGAAAATCTGTTCAGCAACAGGTGAGGAAGCAGTGGGAGCTCCTGCCAGTTCCTCCGGACACGGTGCAGGTCTGCAGACCCTCACCTGTCATGTCAGGTCACTGACTTGGGCTGGCTTCCCGGACATGAGACCCCTGCACTGGCACAGGGCTCCCCACTCAGAAGGTCCCTGCACTTGGTTTAATGCTCGGCTGTTGCTGTCTCAAAAATCTTAATGTTTGAGAAAGGAGCTCCTTGCTTTCATTTTGCACTGGATCCTACAAATTATTTAGCTGGCCCCACCAATGATTCTTTCCTCGATCAATGACCTGCCCTAATGTTCACCTGCCTTTTCCAACTCTGGCTTTTCTCAGGAGGCAAAGTAATAAAAACTCTGCTCTGTAAGTATGTGTATTGGATAAAGTATGTGGCTGTCTTTTATTTTATTTATTTATTTATTTATTTATTTATTTATTTATTTATTTTTAATATATGAAATTTATTGTCAAATTGGTTTCCATACAACACCCAGTGCTCATCCCAAAAGGTGCCCTCCTCAATACCCATCACCCACCCTCTCCTCCCTCCCACCCCCCATCAACCCTTAGTTTGTTCTCAGTTCTCAACAGTCTCTTATGCTTTGGCTCTCTCCCACTCTAACCTCTTTTTTTTTTCCTTCCCCTCCCCCATGGGTTCCTGTTAAGTTTCTCAGGATCCACATAAGAGTGAAACCATATGGTATCTGTCTTTCTCTGTATGGCTTATTTCACTTAGCATCACACTCTCCAGTTCCATCCACGTTGCTACAAAAGGCCATATTTAATTTTTTCTCATTGCCACGTAGTATTCCATTGTGTATATAAACCACAATTTCTTTATCCATTCATCAGTTGATGGACATTTAGGCTCTTTCCATAATTTGGCTATTGTTGAGAGTGCTGCTATGAACATTGGGGTACAAGTGCCCCTGTGCATCAGTACTTCTGTATCCCTTGGATAAATTCCTAGCAGTGCTATTGCTGGGTCATAGGGTAGGTCTATTTTTAATTTTCTGAGGAACCTCCACACTGCTTTCCAGAGTGGCTGCACCAATTTGCATTCCCACCAACAGTGCAAGAGGGTTCCCGTTTCTCCACATCCTCTCCAACGTCTATAGTCTCCTGATTTGTTCATTTTGGTGTGGCTGTCTTTTAGAAAGGTGGACAATTTACTGTTTTTGTACGCTGATTTAAAAATAATGCATGTTGCGGTGCCCGAGTGGCTCAGTGTCCGACTCTTGATTTTGGCGTGGGTCATGATCTCGAGGTTTGTGAGTTCGAGCCCAGCATCGGGCTCTGCGCTGACAGTTCAGAGCCTGCTTGGGATTCTCTCTCTCTCTCTCTCTCTCTCTCTGCTCCTCCCCAACTTGCACTGTCTCTCTCTCTCTCTCAAAATAAAAAGATAAACTTAAAAAAAATAATGCATGTTACTTGTGGACAATTTAAAAAGTACAAAGAAGAAAAAAAATCATCCATATATCCGCCCCCCCAAAATATCTTCCCAGTCTTTTGTGGGTTTTTTTGGTACAGTTTTTTAAAATTTGTTTTGCTTCTTTATATCATTCGAGATGGTGTTTTGGAAAATGCTTTTAAAAAATTCTCAATATGGCATGCATATGAACTTTTCCCCATATTTTTTTTCTCTAAGATTTTATGGTATTCCAGTGTCCAAAAATACTATAATTTACTCAATCCCTTCTGTTGGGTCATTTATATTTATTACGGAATAACACTTCAAAGAGAACACTTAAAGATTTAAGACGAAACAGATTGTTTTCCTGGGGTAGATTCTTAGAAGTCAGACTTAATAAGAACTTTGGCACACAT